GGTCTTGATCTCCTGACCTTGTGATCCGCCCGCCTCGGCCTCCCAAAGTGCTGAGATTACAGGCGTAAGCCACTGCGCCCGGCCTTTTTTTTTAAAGAGACAGAGTCTCTCTATTGCCCAGCTGGAATGCAGTAGCACCATCATAGCTCACCAACTCTTGGTCTCCAACTCTTGGGCTCAAGCAATCCTTCCACTTCAGCTTCCCAAAGCGCTGAGATTACAGGCGTGTGCCACCATGTCCGGCTGCTCCATCCTTTAATAAGGTCAACTGAGGCCAGGCATGGTGGTGCACACCTGTAATCCCAGCACTTTGGCAGGCTGAGGTGAGCAGATCACTTGAGTCCAGGAGTTCGAGACCAGCGTGGGCAACATGGCAAAACCCTGTCTCTAGAAAAAAATACTACAATTAGCTGGGCGTGGTGGTGCATGCCTATAGTCCCAGCTACTCCGGAGGTTGAGGTGGGAAGATCATTTAAACCTGCGAGGTGGAGGTTGCAGTGAACCGAGATCGCACCACTTCACTCTAGCCTGGGCAACAGAGACATTGCCTCAAAAACAAAAACAAACCAAAAAAAACCATGAAAGGTCAATTGATTTCTCCAATGCAGGGTGCTCTGTCCACACTACTCCGAGCCTCTTCCAGTCAGTTGCCACCCCTAGCCTCTCTCCTTGGGCTCTTTTGTTCTGCTTCAGGGAAGCGAACCATTATACTCAGTAGCTCCTGTGTCCTAAGCCAACCCACAGCTGCCCAGCTGAGTTACCAAGTCCAGGAAGCCTGTAATCTCTGCCGTAACCGCTAGAGGCCACCCACACACCAGCAAAGCTAACAGTGATCTTCCTTTATTGGGGCTCTCCTATTTAATCTGTTCCTGCCTTAAAGGTACCATACTCTGGCCTGCCCAAATTGTGCTTACTCTTCCAGGAAGTCTTCTCAGATCTCTGCAGGTAGCAGTTGTACGCGGCTGCCTTCCCTTGCAGTATCTTCTGTAGTTCTGTTATCTCACTGATACTTTCAAAGGTCATGGTGGGGGCCTGAGATGCCATGTGCCTAGGCAGGCTAGGGTGGGTGGGGTGCCATTTGCACCGAGTGAGGGAAACTGTGATGCTACTTTCCAGTGGATGGGCAGAATCCTCATCTGTCTCTTGGTCAAATACAGGTGTCAAGACTGCCACAACTGACAGGAGAGTGAGCTCTTCACATCTAGGGATGAGGGAGCTGGAGAGCTTGTGCCTCATCCCAGCTGACAGGGAGTGGGGCTCCCATCCATCCTGCTCTGAGGTCTGGCCTTGGCCCTTAACAGGAAGGTTCATAAAGCTAAGGGGCTGGGGAACGGGGAACTGGGGTCACTTGCCATCAGATCGCCTGAGGGTGGACAGGGGGATGCCCAGGGCAGCACTGGAGTACATGGAAGACCACTGAAAAGGTTTAGATTGCACAGTGACACTCGCCTGTAATCCTAGCCACTTGAGAGACTGAGTCAGGAGGAGGCTTGAACTATGCAGTTCGAGTCTGGCCAGGGCAAAATAGTAAGACCCTGTCTCAAAATAAAAGTAATACAACTGTAATCCCAGCACTTTATGGGAGCAAAGGTGGAAGGATCATTTGAGCTCAGGAATTTGAGACCAGCCAGAGCAATACAGTGAGACCTTGTCTCTACTAAAACAATTTTAAAAATTAGCCAGAGGGAGTGGACACAGTGGTTCAGACCTATAATCCCAGCACTTTGGGAGGCCAAGGTGGGCGGATCACTTGAGGTTGGGAGTTCAAGACCAGCCTGGCCAACATGGTGAAACCCCATCTCTACTAAAAATGCAAACATTAGCTGGGCGTCGTGGCGCATGCCTGTCATCCCAGCTACTCAGGAGGCTAAGGCAGGAGAATCACTTGAACCTGGGAGGCAGAGTTTGCAGTAGCAGAGATCTGCCACTGCATTCCAGCCTGGCGACAGAGCAAGACGTTGTCTCAAAAAAATGAAATAAAAAAATTAGCCAGGCATGGTGGCACATGCCTGTAGTCCCAGCTACTTGGGAGGCTGAGGTAGCAAAATCACTTGAGCCCAGGATGCAGTGAGCTATGATCACTGCCACTGTACTCCAGCCTGGATGACACAGCAAGACTCTGTCTCATCAGAAATAATAATTAGCTGGGCATGGTGGCGTGTGCCTGTAGTCCCAGCTACTCAGGAGGCTGAAGTGGAAAGATCACTTGAGCCCAGGAGTTCAAGTTTACAGCAAGCCATGATCATGCCACTGCACTCTAGACTGGGCAACAGAGTGAGACCATCTCTAAAAAAGCAAAACCCAGGCCGGGCGTGGTGGTTCATGTCTGTAATCCCAGCACTTTGGGAGGCTGAGGTGGGCATATCACCTGAGGTAGGAAGTTCGAGACCAGCCTGGCCAACATGGTGAAACCCCGTCTCTACTTAAAAAAAAAAAAATACAAAAATTAACCGGGTGTGGTGGCAGATGCCTGTAATCCCAGCTACTCAGGAGGCTGAGGCAGGAGAATCACTTGAACCCGGGGGACAGAGGTTGCAGTGAGTTGAGATTGCACCATTGCGCTCCAGCCTGGGGGACAAGAGCGAGAGTTTGTCTCAAAAAAAAAAAAAAAAAGCAAAACCCCCCAAAAAACCAATAATAATAATAATAATAATAAAGGGTTTGGACAGGTTCAGCAGTCACGCTGGGATGGAGACAGGTTTTACACTGAGGAAGAGATTATCAACTGGGCCTGGGCTGGCAGCTCCTGGTCATCCTCAGGTTCACAGTGAAACACAATCATAGACCAACATTCTTTAATCACAAAGGCACTTGAGGACCCCTACAAACCCAAAGTCTCTGCCAAGAGTGGCCCTGCAGACACCCCACCTGCCACCTTCTATCCACCCATCCATCCATCCCACACTCAGAGTTCATCGTGACCTGCAGAGGGCTCCACACTAGGCTTGATGAAGATGCCTTCCATGGCCTTCCACGTATTGTGCGTGTTGGCACTGGGCATGCCGTGGACCTCATGCTGCCCACGGATGGGGCTTCCATACTGCTCACCCGTGACTGACAGGAACACAGAGGTGCCCACGTGCTGGAAGCGCACAGCAGCCTCACGCTCCCAGTGCTGTCCAGAGCAGCGCACTGTCCATAGGTCCAGGTCGTCACCCTCGCCGTCTTCCCCAAAGGCACTCACCTCCTATAGGTGCAGAGGGTGAGGGGACAGTGGTCACCACAGAAGGCGGCATTCGCACCTACACTGAGCCTAGGATCCTTCCCTGCCCTTCCCGGAGACTCAGCTCCCACAGCTGCAAAAGGTGACACCATGACCCGCCCACGCAACCTCTGGCACTCCCTCCCCAGCATGGGCTCTTCAGACACATGCACACACCATTGCATCTGTTTGTGCAGAGACCACTGGTCCCCACAGAGCTAAGGCCTCCTCCTCCACATTCTCCCAGTCCTAACCCCTCTGACCTACCTTCAGCCCCTCAGGCTAGCAGTCAAGCTGTCTATCTATCTCAAACATTTTCTTCCACCAACTCTCCAAGGGCACCCACTGTTCCATCCCAATCCCCTGAATTCCACTGACCTCCATGCATTGGTGCAATCTCTTCTGCTGGCCTGGGAAGTCCTTCTTTTCCCTTTGTGGCTTGGAGGACTCCTAACCATCCTTTCAGACCCAGCCTGAGTTCCTCCTCCCCAGTGGAGTTTCCTATTCCCCACCCTCAAGGCTGTGTGGATTCTCCTCCTGGGTCCCACTTGCCCCCAGAGGAAGAGCTATCCAGGAGGATCTCTTCGGATCTCTCTCCCATGGGTCTCCCTGCCGGGCCGGGAGCACCTAGGGGCAGGATCTTGGCGGAGTTACTCTGTTTCCCCCGAAGGGGTGCTCAATAACCATCTCTGAAGTGAAATTTCCATTTCACGAAGAAGCTGAGGCTCGGATTGGAACCCAGGATCTCTGGCCCCTCACACAGGCCAGGAATCTCTCTGGGGGCTTCGGGAGGGGCTCACCTGGTTGTTGGACAGCGGTGACGGGAAGTGGTGCGTGTGTAGGTTCTTGCCTGTAAGCACATGCGTGAGCCGCACTGCCTGCCCGCAGCGCACCGGGGACCCACGCGGGCACCCGCCTTCCGAACCGCCGCGGATCCGCCAGTAGCTATTGGCGTCGTCCGACGCCTCCACGCCGGTCACCGATTGCTGGCCGCTGCCTGAGGAGTGACACCCCACCCACCCAGGGTCTCCGTCAATCGCAGAACCCCGGACCCTCGCCCTGGGACCATAACATTTCCCAGGGGACCCCAAGGGGCTCACTCCCAGCCCCGGCCCCCGCCTGACACCTCCCTCAGTCTTTGGGCCTGCAGTTCCCCGACGACCGTCCCCACCCTCAATATCCTCGACACCCTCAAAGCCTTGCCCCCCTCGACCCCCCAACGACTCTAGAGCCTCCGCCGCCCGGCTTCGAGACGGCCCACAGACCCCCACGACCACCCTGTCTCCACACTCCCAACCCCAAGCCCCCGATCCCCGCGCTCTCCCAGTCGCAGGTCACACGCACCGGATCCGTATTTGATGTCGTGCGAGTGCAGCCGCACCCGGTGGTGCGTATTGAGCAGCTTCAGCACCGACCCGCAGGTCACGAGCCCCGCGCCAGTCTTGGCAGCACTACCGCCCGGCACTAAGAGCGCCAGCAGCAGCCCCAACAGCACCGGCCCGGCAGACCCGCCGCGGCCCGCGCTCCACATCGCCCCGGCCCGGCTCCAGCCGCTCCGGCCCTTGGGCTGCTTCCGTCCTCGCCGCGGCCCAATCCAGTTCTGACAGCGCCCGCTCGCGGCAGCCAATGGTCGGCCCGCGCGGCACTCCGCTTGCACTGCCATTGGGTCATTGAGGAGAGGGCCCGCCCCCGGCTCGCTAGAGCAGTAGCTGGGCGGGGACTGGAGACACGAGGAGGGTTTTGATTGGTACACGCTTCCGAGGACTTTCCAATGAGTGTCCAGGGAAGGGCGGCTGAGTAGCCAAGCGGCGGAGAATGAGCGGGAGCGCTTGGTGAGGACGCCGAGTCCGAGCCCCGCAGCCGCTGAGTGCCTGGATACCAGCTCAGGATCCTAGGACCCTGCAGGCACGTGTTCACGACGCCCCTTGATCCTGGACTCCTGGGCACTCAGTAATTAGTCTCTCCCCTCAGAACCTGGGACCACAACTGCAGGGTCTTGAGGCTGTTGGATCACTAGATTTTGTGGTCACAAAGTCGACAGATCCCAGAATCACTGAATTGTCTGGTCCTTCAGTCCCTGGACCCCGAGATTAATGAAACCCCCAGTCATTCGGCCCTAGCCGCCTCTCTGACACTGGGTCACCACAGTCCCTAGACCCTGGGGTTTCTGAATTCCCCTGGCCACTTATACATTTGACTCCTTTCGTGGCTAAATCTTGTGGTCACTGGGTCATCGGGCAGGAGAGGGCAGCAGGGAGCTGTGGCGTCGAGAATAATGGCAGCTTCCCACCAGAAAGCCCCAGAGCTGTCTTAGGAAACCAGAGTCCAAGGAGACCAAGGGGCTGTGGGAACCAAGCCTGGGTGACTGTGTCCCAGTCTCCTGGCCATGAGTAGGTCTCCCTTTTGCCACCTTCTCAGAGTGTTGTCAGCTCAACCTTCAAGGGAGGAAAACTTATACCACTGTTTATTTATTCATTCATGGGACATTGTTGCAGCGGCTTCACTCCAGATCCTGTGGGGTCACAGAGGAAATAGCTCTGGGCTCAAAAGGCTGACTAAGGTGTAGTTGAAGCACAGGCAAAGCAGAGACAAAAGTTCATATTTAATTAAATCGTCCAGAATTTTGCATTCAGAAAATCCAGAGTAAAGCGATTTTCATTACAGCAACATGTTATTTTGGGGGTTTCATGTTTCATATTGTTTTTATTTTGAGTTACATGTAGTGTAAGTCACCTTGATCTTTTCAGCATTTAGGTGTCCAAACAGTTAAAGGTCAGTCTACCCTGGATTTGGTAGTCACTGCACTTGAGGGGTTTCCAGTCTAGGGTGGAAGAGCTGAAGTACTATCTGAGAGGCAACGGATATATAGTCTTGGACATGTCAGCCATCACCTCAAAATCAACACATGCAAAGCAGAATTCCTGGTCTCTGCCCTCAAACTGCCCCTCCCCCAGGCCTCTGAGTCTCAGTAAATGGCACCTCCATTCAGGCCCAAAACTTGGGATTCTTCTTTCATTCGTCTCTTTACCTTGTTGCTCCTCACATCTCATTCAACAAGTCTTTTTTTTCTTTTCTTTTCTTTTGAGATGGAGTTTCGCTCTTGTTACCCAGGCTGGAGTGCAATGGCGCGATCTCGGCTCACTGCAACCTCCGCCTCACGGGTTCAAGAGATTCTCCTGCCTCAGCCTCCTGAGTATCTGGGATTACAGTCATGCATCACCACGCCCAGCTAATTCTTTTGTATTTTTAGTAGAGACAGAGTTTCACCATGTTGACCAGGCTGGTCTCGAACTTCTGACCTCAGGTGATCCACCTGCCTCATCCTCCCAAAGTGCTGGGATTACAGGCGTGAGCCACCACCATCACTCCCAGCCTTTATTTATTTATTTAGTTTTTTAACTTTTGAGTCTCCACATGTGCCTCATTCAACAACTCTTTTTTTTTGTTTGTTTTTTTTTTGAGACAGAGTCTTGCTCTGTCGCTCAGGCTGGAGTGCAGTGGCGCAATCTCAGCTCACTGCTGCAACCTCTGCCTCCCGGGTTCAAGCGATTATCCTGCCTCAGTCCCCTGAGTAGCTGGGATTACAGGCATGTACCCAGCTAATGGGATTAAGGCAGGTACCCAGTACCACTACGCCAGGCTAATTTTTGTGTTTTTAGTAGAGACGGGTTTTCACCATGTTGGCCTGGCTGGTCTTGAACTCCTGACCTCAGGTTATCCACCCGCCTTTGCCTTCCAAAGTGTTAAGATTACAGGCATAGGCTGGGCCCGGTGGCTCACGCCTGCAATCCCAGCACTTTGGGAGGCCGAGGTGGGCGGATCACCTGAGGTCAGGAATTCAAGACCAGCCCAGCCAACATGGAGAAACCCTATCTCTACTAAATCAGAGCCATAAAGACGTGTTGAGTGGGCTGGGCATGGTGGCGCATGCCTGTAATCCCGGCTACTTGGGAGGCTGAGGTAGGAGAATCGCTTGAACCTAGGAGGTGGAGGTTGCAGAGAGCCGAGATCACACCACTGCACTCCAGCCAGCCTGGTGAGTGAACAAAACTCCGTTCCAAAAAAAAAAAAAAAAAAAGATTACAGGCGTGAGCCACCATGCCCAGCCCACTCAACGTGTCTTTATGGCTGTCATTCCAAATCATATTTCAAGGCATCTCTCCTGAGTCCCCATCACAGTTCTAACCCAAGCCCCTCCATCTCCCATTTAGATATTGACCACTGCCTCCTAACAGGTCTAGCTGCTTCCATTATGATGCTGGCCCCTCCAAAGCATTCTTTCTACAAAGGAAAGTGGTAAAAGCAGCTGGGCACGGTGACTCCCCAGCACTTTGGGAGGATGAGGCAGGCAGATCACCTGAGGTCAGGACTTCCAAGACCAGCCTGACCAACATGGCGAAACCCCGTCTCTGCTAAAAATGCAAAAATTAGCCAGGTGAGGTCTCATGTGCCTGTAATCCCAGCTGCTCAGAAGGTTGAGGTGGGAGAATCGCTTGAACCCAGGAGGCAGAGGTTGCAGTGAGCCAAGATCACACCATTGTCCTCCATCCTGGGCAATAAAGTAAGACTTCGTCTCAAAAGAAAGTGGTAAAAGCATAGATCAAAAGATGCCAGTTCCCTGCTAGAAGCTGCCAGCCATTTCCCAGTTGCATTTAGGACCACAGGAGGGTGAGGACACAGCAGGCAATCTTCCTGACAAGCAAGACAGGATTCTAAGTAGGCTGAGATACCAGA